ATAGCTATTAGTAGGGCCTTTAATCCGATTCTCAAATTTAGCTAGCTTTTCGGATTAGAAAATAACCCATTTAATTCCTACCTTTCGTAATAGGATCTGTGTATATAATGAGATCAAACATCGATCCGCCGGCCTATAATCTTTCATTCGTAACGGAAACCGTTTTATAATTTAAGGTGCTCAGGCATTAATAAGGCTCATATCCCGCGGCCTCGGCGGAGACAGCATATGGTATTTATAACTTAGAATAGAGGATCAATATACTGTACTCCGCGATCGATTGCCCCGCTTTCGATCCAGTTATATATCATCCTTAATCAAAAGCCAAAAGCTCGCTTTAGAGCATGTCTAATAGATCTAGATGCAATATTCATTTTGTCTAGTTATATATATATCACTATAAACGGATTTCAAAATGCATGCAATTAATAAATTAAACAAAAAAAAAAAAAAACGGATTTCAAAAACCAAGAATTCGGGAATCAATCACAATATATCACTCGTAATTATCATCACATATAACCATAACTTTCACATATATTCAATGATAAGCTCTACAATAATTACTAAGTAATCAGTATCATTATCTTAAAGACTAAGCAAACAGATGTTTGACAATTTCAAGCACCGCCCAGTAAGCGTGAACAGGTACCGCCGCACATCACCGACAGGGATATTCTGTAACGCCGGGATCCTGCACCTTATCTGATAACGACCTAACAGCCGCCGGGGGCCAAGAACCCAAGAATCAGCACCCACTTTAGATTGGGGCACCCACCTTCCAGGCATGCAAACAAAACATGCAATATTAATCTCATTGAATCGAGGCCCCAGATGCAACCCCCTTTGCGATTCACTGACTAGCTGCTGCAGGCACCTTCTTGTTTCTCCCCCAGCTCACTCCCTCACTTCCTTTCTGCCTAAAAAAAGTTCCCCTGAATCACCCTCTCTCCTTCACTCGCCACTTACGCCATTAAACAAACCCACAGACATAGCCGAATCCATCGAGATCAATTTACAGTCGCAACTCGCTATGCCGGAATTCAATATGTCGGATCCCTTGCTATCCCGGATGGATTTGGCTGATACCCTCATTCCTCACCAAAATTAATTTGCTATTCCGGATTTTGGCCTTCTCGTACCGTATGGGAAACTGGCCAACTCTCTGACCCCTGTCCCCATACAAATAATATTTGCTATCCCGGATCCACTAGTCCATACACAGCTAGATTTTCCCATTCACTGAAGGTCGAATTCTGAGGTTTTGAACACTTTTCCCCCTTCAAAATTGAAGCGGAGAAAACTCTATCAGACATCAAGTACTGCTAGCACTCGATACTATTAGAAGCTGAGCTCTTGAAGCAAAAAAAAAAAGGTTCAGAGGTGAGTAAATCTAGGGTTAGGTTTATTTATTGAGGATTTATTTGCTGTCCCGGATGATTTGCTATCCCGTACGAAATGGGCTGAATCTTGGCCATCCGGCATAGCGAGTTGCGACTGTACATCTGTACCCTCTGTCAACGGTCGACTTCCGGGGCTAATTCCTGAACGGGGGTTGCCGAGTCGATTCCGGGGGGGGTCCGTGTAAGGGTTAATATCGGCGTTGAAGACTTGAAATCGATTTTTCTGCTCTCGGGCCGCAAGGGGGGTAAAATAAAGGAGGCGAACCTCGAAATTCCATATATTGAATTATGTAACCTGAGCCCCTTGGTACGGCCCGCTTACTCCCGTAGCTGGGCTGGTAGGCCTTTCGTTAGTTATGAGTGAGTGGGGAGGGGCACGAGATCTGAGTCAAGGTGAGGCTTAAAATGAAATAAGACTTCATGGGGGTTAGAATGTCTCGGTGGTTAGATCCGTGAGGCTCAAACTTAACGTCGCTCGCTCTTGGGTTGTTACGATGGGGTTCATGGAATGTCACTCGATATGCTTAGATAGAGACCGTCACCAGAGGCTAGGATGCAGTTGGCACGCGCATATGTAAGCAGGCAAGCTGTGCTTACACCGCGTGCTGCCAACGCATGGGTTAGGGCTACTGTTTAAGGAACGTGCGTCTGTAAGGACTTGCTTGTTTGCTTGCAGTTGCTGCTGCTACTGCAACTAACCTGGCTGGCGCGATTATTGATCGGGTTGCTAACGGCACGTAGTGCGACTCTTCAAGACGACGAACCAAAATGGCGCAGAGCAGAGCGAAACAACGTTAGATAGAAGTGGGGTTGTTTTTTTATTGCTCCTTCCACACCATGGTGTCGGAAACTAGGTTTCGATTTCGATTTCAGCCTTATCGATGCAAGTAGCTACTTTGTTTTAGGGTTTCTTGTTTTTTTTTTGCCATGGCCGCAGCTTACATATTTGGTTGCTTGGAAAGCTTAGCATCGAAACACCATGGCATTAATCTTCTATGATGCTGCAGTATGTACATTATACTTTAATAGAGATGGTGATGGTTGTGATGATAAGGCTGACTGTTTCTCGCTTAACACTAGCCGAGTTATGCTTGGTGGTGTCGATTGAGATCTTCAGCTGAGGTTTGTTTAAGCTACGGCTGGAGCTGCGCAGAGTAGTCAGATTCGATAGCTGAACAAACAAAAGCAAACAAACATCTGAGATAGGGCAGTTAGGTAAGGAAAGCAACTGGCAACGATTTGCTTCCTGATCGCGCCTACAAAGCCTCAAGGCCCTCAACGCAATCCGGAAATTCAGTGAGATTTTGGCTCAAGCCTGCTTTTATGCAATTGGTGGGATAAAGCAAAGCAGCAGCCAGGGCTGCAGCGTCAGACGAGCGCTGTCGTCTGCGGGGTGAACTCTAAGCTGCCTGCGCGAGCTGCTGCGGGGTCTAAACACATGCAGTTGGAACAGGACAGCTCCGCCTATCCAGCGAATAATCGTAGATGGGCCAAGAGCTGTATTACAATACCTAAAAGAGATAAAAAGAGAACGAAAAAAAATAAAAATAAAGTTAGAGATGAGGCGGAGGAGGAACGGGAGGAGCGGGAGTTTTCTTTGTGCTTTTTGTAGGGCATAGATTTCGGATGATTTTTAATGGTAAGAGCCATGGATAAGGAGCGAGATATCCATGGAGGAAGGAGGGTATGAGGGTATTAGAGTATGCTCTGCCAGGAATACCTCGTTATAACTCTCGCTACACCCAGTTGAACCGAGAAGCGCATACTAGAAAGCCATGGGGGTTCATTCCTCTCTACTCTACGGGAACAGGGCTGGGGTCAAGCCAGCCATCTTTTGAAGAGAAATGGATCCAAAAATTCCACACGGTGGGCTGAGGATGGGCCGTAGATATATACTTGTTTACCACGAAAAGAACCAGAAAATGCAGTTGCTCAGGGCAAGGATTATTTGTATGGAGTGGCGGTGATCTCTCATACAAAGTATCCCTGTTTCCGTCACTTGCATTTTCTGGTTCTTTTCGTGGTAAACGAGTATGTATGATGGGTAGGAAATCGTGGCACAAGAAGCTGAGGTGATCTGGCAATCAACCCGTTACCATACATACATGTACCCTATCTTTTCGAGAGCAGGTGAGGATAAGGCTGAGTTACAGGAATTCATGTATGTAGCTGCTGTGCCTTTAAACTGTTGTATCTCATACTTTACATGTAGTTACATTCTTAGGTGGGGTTGCCGTGTGTGAGTGGGTATCACCACTTCCCCACAGGAAGCTTCTCGCTTCAAGGGCCTGGCTCTCTTCCACTTTTTCCACTTTTTCTACACTTCCATTTCGACGATGTTTCTTGTGCCTTTCGGTAGAGGTTTTTTTAAGCATTTTTTTGCCTTAGACGTAGTGGTACAGACGTATTTCGGAGTGGGAATACCTATCTGACATCCACCGATGAGGCTAGGAGGGTCGAGATTCTCCGGGTTACTGTGTTACTGGCGAAGTACCGCAGTAAAGAGTAGAGGTGCGGCTGAGACGAGTGATTCAACCTCCAAAAAGCGGGTTTTCTTGGCAACCAGTCGGAAATCGATTCATTAAAGCTCTGCACAGTCGATGGCCGGAGCTGTGGCGCGAAATGTAAGTTGTTGATCTATTAATAGACCCATTTCCTTCACCGTACATGGTGGTCTCTCATAGATGATAGAGTATCAATGCTCTACGCTAAAAGAAGCTGTCTCGCGTGGTGTGCGCGCAATAGACCCTACCAACCTCAATGCAGGAGAAATTCCTGTGCACTGTTGACCACACACCCTCCTCGTTCACTGCCACCGTGCCACAAGGGAGTGAGGGTGAACGCAGCAGCCCAAGCACACCCCACTAAACCCCCTGAATAAGACTTTCAGGGATTGTTTGCAGCCACAACGCTGGGAGCGCTGTTCTGGAAGGCTACTGCACGCGCGTAGAAGAGGGAGTAGTGTTCTAACCCCAAATGAGTAGCGGGCGTCAGCTACCACTCGAATTGCTGGCGGGGACAGGCCAACCAGAATACAGGGCGGCCCCATATTATCGTTCAGAGGTGGGAGGGGAGAAAAAAAATCAGAAAAGGGTCAAGGTGGTGTCTGTAGGTTGTAGGTACAGCATGTATGTAAGGTATTGCGGCGAGCTAGCTCGAGGCAAGTGCAGCCCGCAGTCTGTTTCACCCCTTCACGTTACGAGAGGGCCTATGGGACCCTCGTTCATTTCTTTTTAACAACTGCTCGCCCTCGTCCCCTTCTCCGCCTCTTCCCTTCTTTTCTTTGCTTCAACCCACTTCTCACTTCAGTTTCATCACCTCCATCTCTTTCTTGTGGTTTACTCGTCCCAAGTAGCAAACATCCAGTCCACAAGGGCTGAATTTTGCTTGCATTCTACCATTCATTTTTCTTTGAAAGATACCCGTTCGACTTCTTCTCTTCAAACCCCTTTCTCTGATTCTTACCATTCTAAACCTTCTACTTCTTCATCCCCTTATCAATCCGCTATCGATTCCATCTAAACGGAACACAAGTGAGAAGATAAAAAGACATCAACTGCTCCTTGTATCTCTTTTGTAGAGGTAACAATCCACAAAATGTCTTATCAAGGTGGTAATCCCGGTGGTCATGATGATGGCCACAATCTCCAACAATACCCTCCATCCACATACCATATGCCTCCTCCCCGAGACTACGATTCGGATGATGACCAAGAGAGAGTTCCTCTTAACACCGGACAAGCTGGGGGTCCTTTTCAAGCCCCTTTTGACGACCCGATGAGTCGTTCAACAACACCAGGCGGTTCACAAAGGCCAAACACTGGCTACTCACTATCTGAGAGCTACGCCGGTCCTCCGGGAGCGGGAGCTGAGGGTCCCGGATATCCTCAGGGTGGTGACCCCAATGTTAACTTCAACAACCGTGCTCCAAGTCCATATGCTAGGTCCGATACTTCATCCACCGAAGCCTGGCGTCAGAGACAGGCCCCTACAGGAATGAGACGTTATGCTACAAGGAAGATTAAGCTTCAGCAAGGTCAGGTCTTGGCTATTGACTACCCAGTGCCATCTGCTATTCAAAATGCGGTTCAGGCCAAGTACAGGCAGCCGGACGTTGAGGGTGGCAGTGAAGAATTTACACACATGCGATGTAAGTTTTGGTTAATTGGTGCCGAGGACGAGAAAGAAGAAAACATTGCTAAGAATTAATTTAGATACCGCTGCAACTTGTGATCCTGATGATTTCACCCTGAGAAATGGGTACAATCTACGTCCTGCCATGTACAACAGACACACTGAGCTGCTTATTGCTATCACCTACTATAACGAAGACAAGGTGCTAACAGCACGTACTCTTCACGGTGTTATGCAAAATATCCGTGATATCGTCAATCTTAAGAAGTCAGAGTTCTGGAACAAGGGTGGACCGGCTTGGCAGAAGATTGTCGTCTGTCTTGTTTTCGACGGTATTGACCCCTGTGACAAAGATACTCTTGACGTTCTTGCGACAGTCGGTATTTTCCAGGACGGTGTAATGAAGAAGGATGTCGACGGAAAGGAGACTACCGCCCACATTGTATGCTTTCCCCTGTATTCCGATTGGTTGCATGTGAAACGTCTGCTGACCAAATAACAGTTCGAATACACCACACAGCTTTCCGTGACTGCCTCCCAGCAGCTCATCCGCCCTCGTGATGATGACCCAACCTGTTTCCCCCCAGTGCAGATGATGTTCTGTCTGAAACAGAAGAACTCCAAGAAGATCAACTCCCACAGATGGCTGTTCAACGCCTTCGGTCGTCTTTTGAACCCCGAGGTGTGTGTGTTGTTGGATGCTGGTACTAAGCCTGGTGCGAAGTCGATCCTTGCCCTTTGGGAGGCTTTCTACAACGACAAGGACTTGGGTGGTGCTTGTGGTGAGATCCACGCTATGTTGGGTAAGGGAGGAAAGAACTTGTTGAATCCATTGGTTGCTACCCAGAACTTTGAGTACAAAATCTCAAATATTCTGGATAAACCCCTGGAGGCTGCTTTCGGATATGTCTCTGTGTTGGTAGGTTTGCTCATTTTCTGAATTTGACTCAAGGAATAGAAACTAACACAAAACAGCCTGGTGCTTTCTCTGCTTACAGATTCCGTGCTATTATGGGTCGTCCTTTGGAGCAGTACTTCCACGGAGATCACACCCTGTCAGCCCGTCTCGGAAAGAAAGGTATCGAGGGGATGAACATTTTCAAGAAGAACATGTTCTTGGCCGAGGATCGTATTCTGTGTTTCGAGTTGGTCGCAAAAGCTGGATCAAAGTGGCATCTTACCTACGTCAAGACATCAAAGGCCGAAACCGATGTACCAGAAAGTGCGCCTGAGTTCATCTCACAACGTCGTCGTTGGCTTAACGGTTCGTTCGCTGCCAGTATCTACTCCCTGATGCATTTCGGGAGAATGTACGCCAGTAGTCACAACATCATCCGTATGATCTTCTTCCACATACAGCTTCTTTACAACATCTTCTCTGTCATCATGTCTTGGTTTGGTTTGGCGAATTTCTGGCTTACAACAACTGTTATCATGGACCTTGTTGGTGACCCAAGTGATTCGGAACGAACAAACGGGAGATCTCCATGGCCTTTCGGTGAAGCTACTCCGATTTTCAACACCATCATTAAATACACCTACCTTGCCTTCCTTCTGCTGCAGTTCATTCTTGCCTTGGGTAACAGACCTAAGGGTTCGAAATTTACTTACATCGTCTCGTTCGTCGTCTTCGGTCTCATTCAGTTCTACATCATTATCTTGTCGTTTTATCTTGTCGTAAAAGCGTTTACTGGAAAGGCTGGTTTCTCGGAACTCGAGGCGAGCAGTGTTAGCGAATTTGTCACCAAGTTCTTCAACTCCAACACCGGTCTTATCATTATCGCTCTTGCTGCCACCTTCGGTCTGTACTTCGTTGCATCGATTATGTACCTTGACCCGTGGCACATGATTCACAGTTTCCCTCAGTACCTTCTCACAGTTTCCTCATACATCAACATCCTCAACGTCTACGCTTTCAGCAATTGGCACGATGTTACCTGGGGTACCAAGGGTTCCGACAAGGCTGAAGTGTTGCCATCTGTGGTCACGAAAGTAGCAGAAGATGGTAAAGCCAAGGTTATTGAAGAGCCCGACAAGCCGCAAGCAGATATCGATCAGGCATTCGAGGTTACTGTCAAGCGTGCTTTGTCTCCCTTTGTTCCTGTCGTTGAAGACGACAAGAAGACCCTTGACGATTCCTACAAATCTTTCCGTACTAGACTTGTAACTGCCTGGATCTTCATGAACGCTGGTCTTGCTGCTGTCATCACTTCAGATACCTTCGATCAGTTTGGTTTCTCAGTAAGTTAATCCCTCTTCAGATATTTAGCTGTGAATTTTATAGTTGCTAACTTCATGATTTAGCAAGCAAACGTCGCCTCCAAGAGAACTGCCAAGTATTTCCAGGCCTTGCTCTGGGCAACCGCCGCCTTGTCTTTAGTTCGTTTCTTGGGATGTTGTTACTTCCTTGGAAGAGCTTCTATTCTCTGCTGTTTTGCAAGACGTTAAAAGTCTTCAGGGGGTATGTTATGGGGCTGGGTGTTTTGCGGTATTTAGCATTAGTGTACTTGGTATATGGGGGAATCATAAGCGCATGCTTGAAAGAGACGGCCAATGTTTGTTTGTCTGTGTATACGAGTGGTGGTCATCTTTAGCAGCTATCTTGGGGTTACCGTCCTATTTTCATGACTAGGGAATGTTTTTCCTATATTTTCTTGTTCTTTTTTTTTTCTTTTATAAAGGTTACCTTTTTTTTACCCTCAAAAATTTCATGGATTAGTTCAGTAAACCTTTTTTTGTTTAGTTTAATCTCCCGCCATATCCTTGGGGATTTACGCTCCCTCGATTTGTTTCCCTTTGTTGTTTTACTCATAGATTTTACCGCTGCATACCAGAGTTCTTTTGGGTTTAACGGATGCATCGTTGATAAATGACGCACCTCCGATTCGATATCACAAGTACAACTGTCCGGTCCACGCCTCAATCGACCTTGCTGCATGTGAAAAACACGGGAAATAAATATCGTGATGGCGGAGGGAATCGTAAGGGAGAGGGGTAGACATACAAATGCAAAAGCCCAGGTGGAAGCTAGAAAGCTTTGACGAAACGCTTAAGGTGCAGATAGGCGGGGTAGGGGATAAGTTCATTAATTTTTTTTTTTTTTTTTTTTCCTCGATCGATATATGTGGGGTTTATGATTTGCCAACTAGCAATGCACTTCACATCCATTCACCATTCACCATCAGACACGCTCATTATTATCCCATGTTCTCTTTCTGGACCATCGGACGCATCTGCAAAATAAAAATATTGAAAGGAACCCGCCATACCGATTCCCCGCTTTCGATCAAATCGTCAGGGTCTCCGATTTTTCATCAGAATTGTACTCTGGCTGCCGCCCCCGTTAGCAAACCACTTAACCACTTGCCTGCAGATGCAAGCTATGGGGACGGGAGAGAGGAGGTGGAGATAGCAGCTCTCAAAAGTAAACCTTAGGCTTGCATGATATTGTAGATCTACACGATTGGTTGAGGTAACACAGCTTTTGTGTGGACTTGGTAGCGACGGTGGCTTTGTGGTTGCGCTTAGAGCCGGGGTTCTCCTACGGCGGGTGTTTCATGTCACGGGATAGTGCTTTGTTTGGTTGGTCACGGGTTTTGACGTGCAGCAAGGCAAGATTGTTACACGGGGTATCGGGACTACATGAGGCATGCCGTTGGGCAAGGTTGAAATAAGTATCCATCGGTGATATCAGGGCTGTCATCCTCATCGGTAATGAGAAAAAAGAGAACGAATAAAAGCTACCAAAGGATTGGATGACCTAGGCCTTGCTTAAAACTTCCCTTTGCTATTCTAAAAGATCTGGTAGATCAGGGGGCTCCGGAGGTAGAAGTTCCTCAGTGTTTTCGATCTGCCTGGAATGACTAGTCGGGGATTGGAACAATTGATATAGGAGGAAAGAATACACGATCTAAACCTTACGGCTTTCAAGGTATCGAGCAGATTGCTCTCATCTCTCTCCCTGTTCCCGCATCCTGTTACTGCACATCTGCTCATGAATCCATCGATTAAGGCAGCTATCTCACTACCCTCAGCTCATTCGCGGAGCTCTACACGATGGCTGCATTAGAAACGTAGCGGGTTTATGTTTGCATTGACCAATGATAGATTTTTCGCGGGTGCTTATATTGCCTAGCTGGCTGCAGGCCATAGCTCTTGCGACCTGTTGCTTTCGATATATTGTTTTCACACGGTTTTGGAAGAGGATCTATGGGGTGAGCTTCTCTTCTATATTTCCCAACTACCGAGAGCTCTCCTCCGGTTTTAAGTGTAAGGAACCCTTAATCTCACTCAGATGCTGAATATATATGATCAGTTACAGACAAATTAAAGTGCGGCTCTTTCCTTGGCGTTCCTCGCTTACTGCCTGAGGCTCTGCGGATTCACCCGCTGTCCACCCAAATTTCTTAGGGATGTTGTACAGGAGAACTGCATTAACAACTGCAGAGGAGTAGCTAAAAAGAATCTGATTCAAGAAACAGAGACATATAATGCTGCAGGCTTAGCTTACCTGATAAAGGCCGGAAATGCCCTCAAGAAGCATCAATATTGCAGCAGGATTCGATTTCGGTAGACTCCGTACTCCAGCATATATGGACTGTGGCTAGTGATTTCCATACAGACTAGAGGACGGAGAGGATCTAGCAAAACCAGCTTTACTAAATAAGCTACCTCCGGTAATTGGGTCTTGTTCTTAAATTTCAAATTTTAAGCACTTCGACAGAAAACTTCGAGAACTGTGTCCACCCTTTTTTTAGTATCACTACGGTCACGTTCACGCCGCCGGAGATTTGACAAGCAGAGTTTGTAGTTAGCTCCTAGTTTATTTCCAAGAAGCTAGCCGGTGATCGGCTCCGGATCCAATTTACGGGAAGGGAAGGGAGAGAGAAACCAGGTGCTCGGGCTCTCTTGTCTCAGATCTCAGACCCCCCTCCCTCCCCCGTGGCGCGGAATAAAGCTTGCAATGATTTCCGGCCGAGTGGCGATCAAGTCGTTCTTTTTTGCGGTTCTGTTTCGGATTATCATTTTTTCTTTTCTTTTTAGAGCGAGGGTTTGGGATGGTGATGTGCTATTGTGGGGTGTGGGGAGGCCAGGTGAATTCTGAAATGTTTACGATCTCGCTCGCCAGAGTCTGTTCTGGAGCACTCAGACTGTGGTGAAATCGAAGCGCAAGAGTGGCCTGTCAAAATTGTGCGAGTCCTGCCCCCTTCTCGATCAGTGTGTTTGTCTTGGTGTGTCTAGCTTGGCTAGATTCATGGCGCTAAAGTTATTAATGCCCAAATTCATTGCCTATTTGTCAACTTGGTCCTATACCCCATGCATCCGTCATCTCCCCGAAGATACTTTCCATGCGGTATATATCACTAGTCTGTAGGCCTGAGGAGGCATGTTATGAATAATTAAAGGAGATGGAGGAGTTGCAATATATAGTCATGGGAATGTTGAATCGGTAGATGAGATGAAAGCTCAGGGGTTATATAGAGGAACTTGCTTGGTTACATGTAGTTATCTTGCGAGGACTCAGATGGCCTAGAATGTCAGGGCTATGGATTCCGAAAACCCTTATCGTTCACATTGTCATCTCTCTAATCATTGCCCTCCATTAGATAAATCTTGTCGAGTGACCACCCGTGATCTAAGCCCAAGTTGCACTCACGCTAACCAACCAGAGCCTCATTCGGGAATTTTTGAAAAGCAACCCCAACAACAACGACCGAACCACCCCCCCGCCTCACCTCCGCCCACTTCCCCCACAGAAAGATTCCCTGTCGCCCGATGCGGCAATGCACCTTACTCCGTAGGCTTCTCCTACCCTTCGAGCGCACTCGGATTCCGGTACAATGGCCTACTAGTAGTAGGAGGGCTTTTGCGACCACCGGCCGCCTGGGATCCCTGAAGGCGACGAAGGAGCTCGAGAAGAGGATTGATGCGATCCCATTGGAGAGGTTTCGAAATTTTTGTATCGTAGCGCATGTTGTAGGTTTTCTGGTTCATGCTGTAGCAGTTGGGGCTTCTGGCTAACTTGGTGGGGTTGGGTGTGTAGGATCATGGGAAGAGTACTCGTATGCACTACCCTACTACCTCTGTGTCGTTTTTTGTTGGGTTTCTGATAAAGCGGTGGCGTAGTTAGTGATCGATTACTTGAGTTTACCGGGACGATTGCGCCTGGCGGAAATAAGCAGATTCTGGACAAGTTAGATGTCGAACGAGAGCGCGGGATTACGGTGAAGGCGCAGACATGTAGTATGATATACAACTATAAGGTTGCTACGATTCCCCAATGGCTAGCTTTATGGAAGTTGTTAACATCTTCTTGGTTTAGGGTGATGACTACCTTCTACATCTTGTAGATACCCCCGGACATGTCGATTTTAGAGAAGAAGTAACACGCTCCTATGCTTCATGCGGTGGAGCACTACTCCTTGTTGATGCCTCTCAAGGTGTTCAAGGTCAGCAGGCATGCTCTCTACCTGCTAGTAGTCATTTATACTGATATTACACCACAGCACAAACCGTCGCAAACTTCTACCTCGCGTTCTCCCAAGGCCTCGAGCTAATACCCGTCATCAACAAAATCGACCTCCCGTCCGCAGACCCTGAGAGAGCGCTGGAGCAAATGAGGACTAGTTTTGAGCTTGATCCAACGACGGCTGTGTTGGTATCGGCAAAGTCGGGCAAGAATGTAGAATCCATATTGCCGGCAGTGGTGGAGAAAGTGCCTCCGTAATTCATCACCTCCCCTGTGGCCTATGTAGCAAAAGGACAGTACTGATCCGGAATAGACCCGTAGGCTCTCATGAAGCTCCCCTCCGTATGCTCCTTGTCGACTCCTGGTATGATACCTATAAGGGTGTCATTCTACTCATCCGTGTCTTTGACGGAACCCTACGCCCGGGAGACAGAATCATCTCGTTTGCAACTCGCAAAACCTACATTGTCGGTGAAGTAGGGATAATGCACCCCCTAGAAACCGCCACCTCAAGCCTGCGTGCTGGCCAAGTGGGTTATGTCTACTTCAACCCTGGCATGAAGATCTCCAAGGAAGCCAAGATCGGAGATACCTTCACACACGTAGGAATGGAGAACACTGTGAAGCCCTATCCCGGCTTCGAGGAACCAAAACCTATGGTGTTCGTTGGAGCATTCCCGGCAAATCAAGATGAGTTCAACCATCTAGATGACAGTATCCAGCAGCTCGTCATCAACGATAGGAGTGTCACATTAAACCGTGAACACTCTGAGGCCTTGGGGCAAGGGTGGAGATTGGGTTTCTTGGGAACTCTGCATTGTAGTGTGTTTGAGGATAGACTGAGACAAGAGCATGGTGCAAGTATTATTATCACGGCGCCTACGGTGCCGTTTAAGATTATATATAAGGATGGAAAGGAGGCGATTATTAGAAATCCGCACGAGTTCCCGAGTGCGGATAGTGATTTTAATAAGATGGAGGGGCTTTACGAGCCACTCGTTCTGACAACTATTACGGTGCCGGAGGAGTATCTGGGAAGTGTTATTGAGCTTTGTGAGGTACAGATCTACCCACTCCCGCCTTTTTATCACTTCATTTTCTAATACAATACTGCAGGCAAACCGTGGAACACAAGTCGAACTCACTTTCTGGACTGCCACCCAAGTAATTCTCAAATACCGCCTTCCCCTCGCCCAGCTAGTAGACAATTTCTTCGGTAAGCTCAAGGGTCTTACAAAGGGATACGCATCCCTCGACTACGAAGAAGCAGGCTACCAAAAGAGCGACATCGTCAAGCTCCAGCTCCTCGTAAACAAAGTCCCCGTCGATGCCATCTCCCAAGTTCTGCACCGCTCGCAGATCGCGAGAACTGGTAGAAAATGGGTCACGAAGTTCAAAGAATATGTCGATAGACAGCTATTCGAGGTCGTGATTCAAGCAGCGGTGGGACGCCAGATTGTAGCAAGAGAGACAGTGAAGGCTGTGCGCAAGGATGTTACAGCAAAACTGTATGGTGGTGACAGGACAAGAAGGATGAAGTTGTTGGAGAACCAGAAAGAGGGTAGGAAGCGGTTGCAAGCCGTGGGACAGGTCTCGATCGATCAGAAGGCGTTCCAAGGGTTCTTGCAGAAGAATTAAGGACAGAATGCTGGGCGTGTATATGTAACTATAGTGAGATGCGGATAAGTGGGTGTAGAATCAGAGAACAGGTTGATTGGTTTTTAGCTCTTTTTTTTCGGATACCATTGGCTTTCGGATATGAATCATCAAATATCACTCGTATCAAATTTTGCTCGCTTTTTGTTTTTTAGTGATAGGCTTTAAAACTAGATACCCTTAGGAGTGAGTTCAATCTGTGTTCAGGGTCTGATTAACTGTAGTCCCTCCCATGATTACCCATACACCAGCTAGATAGCACTTTTTCCTAAACAAATTGATAACTTAAGAACTACTTACTAGGCCCAGTGTGGTCCAAAAGGACAAGGGCACTCAAGAACAATATCTGTCCTTGCCTCTTGCCTTGAAGACTTCTAAGGGCAATTTTGGCTATAATGCACACTTAATATGCCATAATTGAATGAGGCCATGAATAAGTATACCTTTTACTTTTCCACCAGGTCATTATCATGCGCAGTAGCACCTCATCATATCACACTTGTGGTGCTGCTCTGTACCGAGTGATAACTTATGAAGATATATCCACTCTTTAAAAGTGTCAGTAAAATGGTAATGTCATATTGTCCCTCTTCTAATAGATAAGATTTGTTTAAAACCATGGAAAAGGCCTAAAATGACCCATATTTTGGTATACGTGCTTTGTAATAACACATGACGCAAAATGGAAAGTTTACTCGACTTCACTCACCCCTTCCTCGCCCAGAGAAACCAAAAATCAAAATAGCTTCCTAATTTATTTAACTACAAAAAAAGATAAATAAAAAAGAACAAAAAGTACTGCAACCGGCGACTAAATCCAGTTACTACTCCCACCCCTGGCTCGAACCCAGGACCTTCCGTCGTCCTGAGCACAAACACTCGGTGTCTAACCCGACGAGCAGCCTAGTAACCACTAGACCACTCGCCCATGGTGGATGCTGCGCCGGAAGTGATACTTGAGCTAGCTTGGTAGTATGCCAAGACGAAGCAGAACCAACCCCTAACCCTCCATAATATTCAATGACTGGATCATAGGAAAGTTTGTCATGTGTTGTTGTAGAGCACATCTACCAAAAAACCAAATCTTTCCAGCCAAACCTTTTCCGTTAAAACTATTAGAGGCGTTTTGCTAAAAAAGAAAAAAAATATTGAGTAACACTCGTTCTCCGTAATAAAAGCTTAAGCAAGTGGAACCATATCCCAGATAATGTATATTGTAGAGGCAGTCTGTATATAAAGAGAAGTTGTGGACCCGGGGAGAAGTTATACGGGGAGTTTATAGGGAGAGAATATTTAGAGGTGATATATATTTTTATGATTTTACAGAAAACACTTTTAAGACTGTTCGCGTAGGGGTTCCTGACGATGGGAGGAAAGACCATAATATTTAGATGCTTTGAGACCGTCGAAGGCTATTTGTATGTGGTTCTAAACCCGTATGATCTTATTATTTGTATTCAGTTTACAATTGGAGAATACTATCTTGAAGGTCATAGTGGAAGGTATCATGAAGAAACATATGATCAAGCAAAGCCTAGTGAGAATAATGACTTCCTTGGATAGATTTGATTTAGTCTAAGTAGACGGAGAAGATTGGAAAATTAATATCCAAGGAGACAAGTGTATCCGGTTCACAACTTGAACCCGAGGGCTCTATTCCCAGAGCGAGGGGTATACCCATTTGAATGATTGTGCGGACAATTACATCAACAGATATTTCATTCTGCAAAAGTCTGTGAGAATTATAACGAATACAAAATCATTGTTACCGAAATGACAATGCACTTTATTGTAAATTCCAAAATCGAGATGTGGTAGTCTTAGATAAGGTGGTCCACGAGGCCGAGGAACCTCGTGTTTGGACTCATGGCATACCTTCGGGATAGTCCGAGACAGACCCCTAACGATGCCGATACATCTCGATACACCCGCTTGTCTTGCCTCAATGTGTCCCGGTACACATTTTGTTACAGCCGCGGATAGATACAAGCCCAAGAGTGAAGAGGATTAATTATTGTAGTAATTAATAGGTTCACGAGGTTCACTGGTCACCAATGTCCAGCATCCTAATGCCTGTATGGTCGTGTACCGGTCGTTATGTCCGGAGAAAGGGTCGAGTTTTCCACGGTTTATAGAGCTGCATTTTGTATCTGGAAGCCATACTTCAACAACCTGAGTGCTGGAACTAATGTGGTTTTTAAGGGGAGGATAGTGAGGCCATCCGGACACGTCATGCTGACAGTTTGTCCCGTTTTATCCGTGATTAAACCTACCAGCCTAGACTTCCATTTCGATCAATTGGGTTTCGGTAATCTACAAATCTCTAGTTCTTTTCATCAGTGTGCTGAACAAATGGCGAAACCTTATAAATGGGGGTACCGGTGAAGAGGGAGGCTTGATTTATGATAGAACATATATAAATATTGGGCACAGGCACGGCCCACAAACTATCACAATTCTGACACCTCGACATTGACTATATGGGCCCTCCTAGTTACAGTGCGAAAAAAGGGGGTGGGATCACTATCATAGAATTACCGATATAAGTGAATTATAGTAGTGATACGGTAATCGTACGAGTGTAGTATATTGAATAATATTTATTTTTCGGAATACCGAAATTGAAGAAATGCGGTAAGAATACGGTAGTATGTAGCCAGAACACGTATTTCAGAGTATACTGGGTTAGTGGTAATGCCGAACTTTACTCATTGCAGCAGCACTGCAGTAGAACTACGGGATATAGGGATATACCTGACCCTAATTACGCATTTTAAGCTTGAAGCATCTCAAATATGAACATCACCAGATATTGATTTATCAATAGATCCCTGAGGGTTCATCCTCGGATGATGGGCGTTCCAGAACTGGGATATACTTTTTAAAAATAAGTTTTCCTGGTCTAGGCATAACATCTCACGCGAGATACCTCAGGTAATACCCCCAGCCGATGATAGTAATAGCAGACCGGTGCACGTGTAGACTTAAGCTTAATGATGATGGCTAACGTGATGTTAGGTGATACGCCCTGCTGTACATGTACATGTATCATCAAGGCAAGACTAAGCTCAAAACAAGCAGAACTAGTCCTAATCTGCTGTACCGGAAGGCACTAATTGGTATTCTTTGCAATAGATACCTCTCCAAATGCCACCATAAATCGGTATTGGAAAGAATACGGTATAGATAAGAATACCGCACTACTACTGTAGTGCTGCTGTAGGGATCCCACCCCCCCTTTTAGTACTGTAGTCTCGGAAGACATCTCTCAACAAGCGGTGGAACGTGTCAGGCGAGTGAGGGCCCATGAAGGAGAGGAAGCATCGGGCGAATGCCTCTGTAATTCCTAAAGATAAACAATCAGGCCTAACACGCCCACATTAATCAATGGCCACTACGTGTTACCTCATCCTAGGAACAGATATACATGAACTCACCTTATTGGATCTCGCCGGATCTCGCCGGATTTCTCGGATCAGATAGGACTCGAAGAAAGGCTACACTAGCGGTCGCATGTCTCGATTCTTAAACGTCTCTGCCGAACAAGCTTAAAATCAGACGTTACTGTTCTAAGTTTAGGGATGCGTGAAGGCTTGAATAGTAATCAATGATCAATCAGCATTTAAAAATAGGGGTCGTATTTAACCTTACACTCTATGCCATGACTAAGTATTTGTGGCTCCTCTCTCCCGTGTTTACAAATCGGAAATAACAACCTCAACTCTTTGTGTGACCATGAGATAGTATGACATCGTAAACCCTACAACTAATGGATGGTGCTGTTCCACAGGCAGGTATACGAGTAGAGTATCTACATGTAGTAAAGTTCATCCCGGATATGTTGGGGTATTTTCCGACTGGATTCTATGTGCTATTTGGCACCTTCTCGATTAGGTATGGATCTTGGTGAACACTCTTCTTTGGCTGTGCTTCTGGACGTTATGTATGCTGAGCCCAGGTATCGATCTGTATGGAAAACAGTTCACGACTCTTGAGCTTCTTCGAACAACCAACCTAAATAAGCTATTCAGAGTATACCAACTCGCTAGAAATTATTAATAGCGATCTGAGCATCGTTTATCATAACCTAGTCCCACCTGGGCATCCGAGAAGCCGAGAAGAGACAGACAAGGGCCAACCTCTTGTATCCGTGGGGAACAAGCATATCAGGGGAAGGAAAAGATACAGCCAGGGAAACGATTGGAAGCTCCAGAATATCACGCTTTTGATGACTTAACCCTACATGCAAGGCCATGTCGTCCGATCACATCCGTCATCCAACCAGGTTCCAACTGTAAGGTTAGGACGGCAAGAGTGCATGATGTACCAACAAATATGAGTATTTTTTACCTCAAGGACCTCAATTCCTTGCCTGAGGCAATCGTATAAAGACCTCCGTCCTGTCCGCTTAAGAGTTGCGTTCAGCATCAGCACCGTCTGTCTCGATCATCCACTCGCTCAATCCCACCCACAATGCGTTTCTCTATCACCGCGGCTTCTCTCACGGCACTCAGCTTCGCTGCTGGCTCCCTCGCCCAATTTGCCGACACCCCCAGCTACGTTCGCACCTTTGGCGTCCAAGGTGGCGGTCGTGGGCGCTGGAGAGGTGCTCCTCCAATTCTCCTCGATATGGAAAACATGGAGGTACATTGACCATCCCCTCCTGCTAGATAATGATCATCCTTCTAACACACCCACAACCAGATCTACCTTCCCTCATCCCCCAACAACCTTGTTGATCCTGAGCTTCGCTTCCAGCTCGTGGGCGTCTCTGCAATGGGGGAGCCCATCACTGCTGCACGACTCGTCGAGTACCCTGGTTTCGATACCGCTGATCAGGGATACTACATGTCGAAGCCCGCCAACGGAAGCTTGATCTACAGCGTGTTTGACGAAAGTACGGATGGCCTTGGGCCTTGGTGGCTGGTTAGAGGCCCCGAAAACGACCCACAGTACAGATTGACGTTCAAGGGGAGCTCAGTGGCGAAGGCGTGGTGGGATGCGAGTAAGAACAGGTATAAGGTGTATATGGGAACGGATATCCCTGGGAATTTGACGGGATTGATTGATTTTGATATGAAAGTGACGCAATACTGCGGTCCAGGGTATACTTATTGCGCTTAAGTCACTCTATAATGTTTAGAAATAGTTTAGAGATGTAATTGTCGTTGGGGTGGTTATATATATTATTGATGCTATTTAATTTCCTCCGGTCTCACTCGCTGTATCCGTGCCTCGCAATTTACAGTAAAAGCTACTACTAGAATAATTAAGATAACAAGGGTCTACCGTAGTACATTAATAGTGGGATTCTTGTAGCAGCCGTGAGCACTATATTGCCTGTGCCTGTTAGTAATCCTAGTGAGCCTGTATTTTATTAGTGTTATAGCTATAGGATGGCGGGGCCCGTCGCACGTTTTTAGACCGAACCGCTATCCTTCAGCATTTTGGGGGTAATTTTGGCTCCTTTATTGTGGCAGCTTTGATGGTCCCTGGTTGATGGTGCTGTTGTGTATCTGCGCATTTGGCTTTGAGTTTGCAGATGGTTGTTTTACTTAGGGCCTTGGAGGGGTTTGGGTTTTGGTGGATGCTGATAAGTCTGCACTCGTGGAGAACTGGATCCTATATAATTTGCAGGAGAATTTCAAGACAATCTGTCCCTCTCAATTCGTTTGCCAGAGCTCAGGGGCCGACAGAATGGGAGCTGTACTGAGCTATGTTCCGCACTTGGAGGAGAAACCAATCTAAATGGATGTCGCCCAAGATATGAGGGCATTTCATGCTCCTCTAGGTACATTAACCCGAATACCTTGTAATCGCTGTCAGTAAATGTAGTGTGGCTTTCTGCGGTTAGATGAGGGGGAGAAGGGGATCGATGGATTCAATGGGAGCGCCAAGGTGGATAGCCAAGTGCGAGTGATAGTACATGAGTAAATAAACCCAACCCACTTGGTCCCACGTTACCCCACCTCAACCCCACCACGGCGCAAATTTTTATAACGAATTCAACCTTCGGATCGATGAGATTATATTCAGTCCTCTATTTCTAATAGACAAGGAGAAAACTGGTCCTTAACCTCTAGCTGGCACAGTCTCTATCAGTACTATCTGTGTCGCATATCACACGAATCTACACACATATCACTACCAGAAGTCTTTGACAAACCGTTCACAACACAGGGAAGGCAGGAAGGACTGCGCGAGAACACCCCTATTTCGCCCACGACGGTGGAGAACGCAACAAAATACTTATGTTAAGAACAACACACGCAGAACACGCAGGACTACTGACACCTAGGCCATAGATAGGAAAACTGACGAGGCAAACAATTAGTGTCTCTAAACCCCGCAAAGCATCAACTCCGAAAAGTTTGGACCTGTGCATGACAACCAGCTGCCTATAGTTGGCTAGGCACAGGCTCCGAACCCCCTGCCTTATGCTCAGGGGGAGAACTTTTACAGATGTTCGCCAGTGCCGGCAAAGAGCGAGTGATTCACTATGATTAGTGCCAAGAAGATCCTCTTCAGGAACTTGGGCTGGCCAATAAAGGTTTACTTTGGATCCCTACGCCAGACCGCACAGTGTATTCCGGTGGGGCCTGGCGACCGATATATCCCCCTCGCCTGCTCTTTAGGCATCCGGGACAATGTATCTGGCTATTTCTCAGTACAGTGCTCTGCTTAGTTAAATAGGACCCCGTGAGTGGAACAGCGGGAGGTCAATCGCATCTTGACCGCCTCTATCGGTAATACTGCCTCCTCAATCTCCACCACCAGCATCGCCAGTTCTCGCCCCGCCGCCCCGACCAGGAGGAGGTCTTTGTTCACCCCGCCAATAACATTTATCACACCCCAACAGAAATCACCCGCACACCCCTAGCTTCACCGGTAGAGACATCCGTACCGTCACCCAGGGCTATAATTTCTTGGCTGTTTTTGTAACGTATAAGAACGGTGACGGTCTAATGTGCTCCGCGACACCGCTCGGGATAGGGCCAAGGTACAGTCTTGTCTCGGCTTGTGAAATGAGGGGGCCAGCCTCATCTCCCGCCCGTGCCGAGACAGGCTTGGAAAGTCGAGTGAGTAGCCGTGAGCCAAGACTACCTAACCTAAATCTCCAAAGAAACCGTTTCTTGGTCTCCCAACCAAAGAGTTTGCTGATGATCTATTAAAAATCCTTGATAGACTCGTATATATTCTTGGGAACTGACAACTGACATCTGCCGAGGGCCAGTCGTGATTTAGAGCGCGCTACTAACTTCTTTCTTACTGGTATTCGTGGCGCTATACCTCTTGGCGGATTTGAATTCAAGCAGGCCTCGAGTCGAGACCAAAAATATTTGGTGTCGAGTTATTCGGGGTAAGAGTTTCAAGATAAAATTCCAAAGTTCAAGACCTCTCTTCTACCACTCCCAGCCTTTACCTGCGACTAGACCCGTGGCTTGTGGGGACTAACCGAACCCATCACGCTAATAGGCCGTGCAAAACCGACGACTCGGCGGCCCGGCGGTTGATAATCTAGGCGCGGAGACGACGTAAAAGGTACGTAGGTGGCGGAGTTGAATGGACGGCTCTTTGGCGGGAGTTGGTTGGATGCTATAGGTACCTAGGGGAAGGGTTCACAAGAAAGCTAACGGCTGCCGAGTGATCTTGGGTGATCCCAATCTACCGAAATCCCGCAAACAACCGGGCGAAAAAGCCCCCACCAGTCAAAACTTATCCCGACTCCTTTGTAGACCGGTATTGGCCCTTAACTCTCAATTCAACTAGCAGCAGTTCCCTCAACCTAAGCGGTTCAACGCAACGATCAGATGAGATCTCTGCAGTAACCACCAGCCCAAAACAGCCCTACCTGCGAGCAGAGAAAAATACCAAGCACCCCTGACGGGGGGTACCTCCCACTTCACCCCACGTGGACCCTAACCCACACATAATCAAAATTACTTTACGGGTTAACTAGCTAGTCGGGATGATCCCAGGTAAGAGATTTTTAACCCGAATCGGAGAGGCAGGGGGTGAGAAGGGAGAGAGATGGTCTCGAGTGATATTGTGTGATTGATCGAGAAACGCCCCTAACTACAAACGAAAAGAAAGGAAAAAGGAAAAAGGAGAAAAAAAGGAAGAATTTCAAGCGTACATGCATACGTGCAGCAAGAAAAAAAAGAAAGAAAAATGGCAAAGTCAAAATACCCTCCCTCCAGATCCCAAAGACTCCACGTAATTAGCAAAAACTCCTCAAAAAAAATAAAAAATAAAAAATAAAGGTACATAATGCACCTCCAAACCGCGGTTGCGAAATGCATATGCAAATTAAACAATTTGCAATCTCACTCCGCCCAACAAAATAAGGTATCACTCATGAGCACAAGAGGAATTTTGTAGAGAAAAAAAACCACAGCTGGATGGTTTTTTTCTTATTTTGCACACTCTCACCACAGACAAAACCACCTCGTTACCGCGGAAAGCCTAGCTTGAAAAAAAAAAAAAAGGTTACAAAAAGGTGAGGTATGTGGAAGATGAAGAAGATACATATGCAGAAGGGCAAAGACTGTCCAAAGCGTCTAGAAAAATGTAAAAAGAGAAGAAAAAAAGGTTTGTAACATTGCGCCCTTTTTTTTTATGGAAAAAAAAGTTCAACCCCTTTTCTTCCTCCCCTCCAAATATGGCTCATGAGCTTTCTTCCCCCACCCTTACCTATTCCGATGATGCCTAACCTACCGAACCTGCGCAAACCAGACCGAATAAAAGCCCAACCCATGAAAGTAAATAGAAAATAAAAACTAATGAAAAATGTTCAAAAGGAATGTGAAGATATATCTCCACATCACGAAGGGTATAATGTAAAACACAAGAAGAAGAAAAACACCACACACACCAAGTAATGTACCAGAAGAATAGGCTTGACATAAGAGCCGAATGATGGGGATGATGTAGGTAAAGACGACACGATAAGTGTCATCAGAACAAACACACACATACACGCTGAAAAAATAATACAACAAAAGAAAAACCGTGATACATAAAAAATACAATGCTCTTATAGCTCTCTTTCTCACGACAGACTAGGACAATCTTGGTTTATAATCATTTACCGGGTTGCTTTGTCCATCGTATTTGAGTCGTCAAACGGGCTAACAGTCCTCTCGGGCACCTGTGCCACATCTGCAGGTGAACCCCGTGGGTGGTTATCAGGCGGTAATCGAGAGCTTGCTGGGGCTAGTAAATTATCAATTGCCACCGTGTTGACATCCGAAAAGGGCGACCTTGAGTCTGAGAATGGTGACCCTGTGTCCATGTCTGTGATGCAACTGCTGCACGCAGACTGTGAGCGCTTGAGTCTTGAGCCTGGCTGAATATCATCGTCCGAGTCGTCCGAGTCGTAGACGAACGATTCCGCGCTGTGATTCTCATGTACGGCCCTTACGGTACTAGGTCCAGCTACAGGTTTAGCTACATCCACAGTCTTGGCACTGTTCATACGACTCAAGAAAGTCTCTCCGACAGAGAAAGCAGGACTTGGCGGAACGTTCAGTACTGTTGGCTGTTCCTCAATTTCCTTGGGCTTTGTTCTGCCCTTCTTGCTCTTTATTTTCACAAGAGTGGGAACAGGGGGAATCATCGATTCCGACAACGGCGAACTACCCTGGCTGCTCCCCGACTTGACCGTGACCACAGCAGCTTTACCAGCACGGATGATATTAGGCTGAGATACCACTGCATTTTGACCATAGATAGTTGTTGCAACGGACGAACGATTATCATTGACAGTGTACATGGAACCGCGCAATATGTCGTCCGCAGAGAACTGGAAGTCGCCAGCCAAAGGTGATCGAGGATATTGTGAAGTAACTGGACTAGTGGCCATACCTGGAAGAGGTGGAACAGGCGGGACGAGGTGAGATGGAGTTGAAGGGCCGGAACGATTCGTGACTCCAGGGATATACGCGATCTGAATAACGTTTGACGCACGGGTACGAACGGTGGAAGCAATCGAAGCGACGGTGTGAGTAGAAGCCTATGTTATTATCAGTATGCTGTCCACTTAAAAATCCAAGCTTGGTGATATATACCCTAGCGCTCTTCAACATTCCAAAGTCGTTTTCCTTCTCAGCAGCAGACGCCGCCATCGACATTCTTGCCTTCTTCTTCTTGATGCAGCGGGTGTAGACCACGAACCCAATCAATCCCGCAACTGCCAGTCCACCAAATAATCCTCCAACAATAGCTCCAACGCCGCTCGAGGTCTTGGAAGTTGATGACGTAGTTTTGGCGTTGCACTGTACTTTTGAGCAGCTGTCACATGTTTGTGCTATCATTTGGCAATCCTCGTCCGCAGAGCAATTGCAAGTAGGGACAGCACAATCCTGAACACATCCGGGGTTTTGTCTAGCAAAGATGAGAGTACCAGGAGCTATATGTTGTTAGCGTTAGTTCTGTCGAGTGTTGGTGGTGATTGGTGTAAGCACTTACCAGGAGATGCAGCGGCTAGTGTTGAACCGCAATGCAATGCAAGTACCAGGAGTAGGCAGGAAGCCCTGAAAAGCGACTTTGAAGAAACCATTTCTGGTGATGATAGTGATGCTTGGTGATGAGTAGGTTACGGTGATGTCACTTGGTGACAAGTTGGGTTTTGCGACAGAAAGGGTGAGGAGTGCAAAAACTCAGGTGTGATTTTTTTAAAAGGAGTGGATGTAGATACAAGGTCTACTAAGGGACGAACTGAGAAAGATAATTAGCCCGACCGGCGGCAAAAAAGATCAATGAGTGTGTGGGTGAAGAAAGAAAGAAAGAGAGAATCGCGAAGGCGGAGGTAGAGGTGGAGGTGGAGGTGGAGGGGTGAGAGGGAAAGAAAGGAAAGATGCGAAACAATGGAAGCGAGTGTGGTAAGGGAGTGGTGAGAAAAGAGGAAGAAGGAGATTGGGGAAACAAACAATGAAAATGAGCGGAAAGCCGGGTACAACAGTGTTTCGCAACTTTTTCCAGGGCGCAACCGAGAAGGTCAATGCGACGTCGAGCAGTGAAGATCAGCCACCATAAAAATAAACCCTTCTCTACGTCAAGTCAAGAGAAATGATGGAATTTGTAACTGGCGAGAGAAACCCAAGACCCAAGGTACCTAGAGAATGATGATGGTGACGACAGCTGGGAGTGATGGGGAGGGGAGGAATGTGGCTACTATTTTACTTGGTCGTAAGCAAGAGCGACAGTGGGTGTTTCTCTGTGGACGAGAAGTTGTGATGGGTAGGGATTGGGGGTTCAAGAGGGGGGCACTGCGAGAGAGATATCCAGCGGTAATATGTACTCAAGCAGACGTGCCTGATTGACGGGTGAACTGGGGAACTCCAGGGAAAAAGGGAAGTCTCTCTTCTTTCGGATGTAATCTACATACGCGGTCATCTTATGTACATGTATATAGTATTCTTGCACCCTCGTCTTCTGTTCTAGGGGAGGGATGTGAAGTTGTCCCTAAAGATTAAGTGCATCGTTACGTTGGGTGTGTGTGTGTGTGTGTGTGGCTCTTCCTCCCTCTTGTTCCTATTATCCAAACAATCGCTGCATCTCTGTATTCCTATGCACTGTGGCACTTCCTTCAGAGCGGCAGTGTCCCTTCTCTCCTCTCCATACGCTGGCTTGCGAGATGAGACGGAGAAAGAGATGCCAGTAAAGCTGCCAGCCAGTACTGAGCCTGCCTACCTGCCCATCCTATCACTCATCCATCCAGAGGTCCCTGACAACCCAACACAGGGGCACGTTTCTGCCTGCAGGGATTCTAACCCACCAATTCGCGTAGAGCGGCACGGTTCGATGGCTGGGCTTCCTTCCCCAAAGCCTTCGCTGCTTTTTCACAAGCTGTGCCTTGCTTGGCATCTTGTCCCCCCAGCCCTTGCTCTATGCAAGATTGATGATGAATCCCTCCCAATAATCACGCTTGACGCCCATGCGACCATCCTTTGCCTGTCATTTGACAATTTGGACCCTTATGCGGCAAAGTGCATTTCCTGACAGGTGGCTCATCCTTCCTTTTGGTCAACCAAGATCCTCGTGGCTTTCCATTCCACCCCGGGTGTTTTTTCAGCCCCAAGGTCCCCTCCAAAACCTTTCCTCCATCAACAATGCTTCCTCATTCGTTCCCGGCCCTCAGGAAACGGGATTCTCGATGTTGTGGAATTAATTTCCCTGTATCCCAAGAGGAAATAAGAGTAGAGTTGTTATCTATACCAAACTGCTTGGTCCTGCAGCAGCGAAACAATCCATAGGTATCTCCCCCGGCGTAGACATGTGTTAAACAGCCATCAACCATGGGAAAACAATCTGTCCAGGGACAAGCTTCATAGTTGCTTAGATGTGGTTAGTCAGGCCCTAACGGTATATGAATCTCCGGAACTTCTCATCGCAACCAGTAAGCATTATCACCATCTCCGTCTATACGGTATGTGTATTTGCAAGTTTAGCCTCCTCTTAGTCAATCTCAAAGTCCAACGGATCTCGGGAAGAATATCGAGAAGATTCTGGGGAATATCATTTCATCCTTAACGCGTATCATGTCTTCACAACATGTCCGTTGTGCCATAAAAGGGATAGGAACGATGCCGTTTTCACAGGGAACGCGTGTATCTGCCCAAGCTTTAAGACACTATTTTTTGGGATTATCATCCAATCGGCCATATTTTTGGATCTCACACGCAATTTATCTACCCTGAAGTCCCTTCAAGACCATTTGGAGTTAGAAACACTCGAATGCACGGAATGACGATCTAATGGACGTTATTCGGATCATTCGGACGGGATTAAACCCACACACACTTCGGCTTTGTGAGCACCTATGCATCGAGATGCTTTTGAAGTTGAATATAATCCAAACTTGGTCCAAGCGTCATACTAGTAGACTCGGAACGCTTCAAGATTCAAACCATCCTGTAACGCTTCCTGCGCACATGTTACAATTCAAAAGCCACAAACACCCTACCAATTACTTGAAAGCTTTATATCATACTTGAAAACTCATCACCTTGTACGCCGTCGCGTGAATTGACGTTTTACAAGACGTTATCGAGAGGTCGCCTGTGCGGAGGATAACTCTGCAGACTTCCAGTAATCATTTATTCTACCTCAGCTTGGCATACATCTCGGGCTAATACGCGAACGGGCGTGCGAGAGAGTGAACGACAAATGTTTCTGTTCATTTCTCCATCTCAATGGATAAAGATCGCACGGGTTTGATGAGCCTAAATCTCCCGTCGTTCCCCGGATGTCTTGATTGCAAGAGTCAGCCCTAACGGAGTGATGTGCAGCAGATGGATTGGCTTTTACCTCTGATTGCTTATTAAATAGGGCTCGGGGCTATTGCGCTACTATCTCTACTCTAATAAAGCAGCAGTAGAAGATCATGTGATCTCGTAATAAAGCACGATCTTGACCTTTGCGCAAATTTATGCGTTAACAAGAACGGTAGCGACTGTGTAGATCCCTTTGCTTTAATGAAGGGTCTGTGGACCACTACCTCCGCGTGTGCTACCCACCACCGCCTTAACAACCCTATGTTCCTAGCCATGATCGAAATCGTCTATCAGCAGCGCAGGCCAGCGGCGTGGCCTTTTAGCCTTTAGGCAAGATAAGATCAATGGAGCAACTTATCCATATGATATTCTTAGATTAAGTATTTTTTGGTACATACATACGCCTCATTACTTATGGTCGTGCATTGTGGGCGTAGTAACTCAAGGTTCTTCACGATCATTTGAGATGGGGGGCGGCGACATACTAAGTGTCTAAGATATTTTTCTTTTGCATGACCTTGTCACACAAAATATCTAGAAAATGGAAAACTTGTTTCGACCTCAAAATGTTCAACTCGGACTTTTGAGCGCTGAGCTTGACCTGCACGGCTAGCCTTGCCCATCATCTAAGCTCGGCAAAAAAGTCATATCGATAGGCGCCTGTATTTCTTTTCCACCGTGCACCTCTCGGATGCAAATTGTCTAACTGTAGGTACTCTCTGACCTGGTATGGTTGGACATCAACTGGCCAGCTGGTGCCACTGATTTTTTAGGAGAGAATATAAATCAATCACTTGTGGTGCATTTTGTACCCCTACATCGCCTAGTGCTAGTATCTCGAACTTGGTTGGACAATTGTGGGAGGAAATGCACTGCGGAATCAGCTGTGTTCCTGCATACATATTACACTCGCATCATTCTCAGGTGTATTCAAGGATTTGAGAATTCTTTTTGTGCTTTTAAGTTTGTGTCTCTGGTCATGGACGAGGATCATAATTCGATTACTTATTTATGAGAAATGAGTCGACCAAACATTCTCTGGATCGGACCGCATCGGATGGGTTGTAAATCTATTGGTTTCTGATCATTTCCACCCTTGCATAAATACCGATGTTGATAAGCAAAAGCAAGTCTACAACAAGAGGAGAACATGGGATATCACTCGCGCATTTGCCAATGCTGATACTAAACACTAGCCGAAACTGTGCAGTGTAACCCTAAGCCTGTGAAGAAGCAAAACAAAGCAAAAAAATCTCGTTTTGTTCCTCGCAGCTCAGAAATAACAGTAATGATATATACCGGAGGCCTTGCTACATACCGCGTAAACAGAGTTGTTTATGATTCACATGGTGGATGCTTGATATTAGCTGTCAACAAGGCAATAGGTAGCTCAACAGCCGACGGCGACCAGGTAGGTAAACCTGGCCCCCTCTCTCCTGAGATGCAGCGGACCGCTCAAAGGGTGATTGATCTCTTGTGCCCAAAAGAGTAGGGCGATATAACCTCATTCTTACTCACGGTCTCTGTTAGGGCCTACTACGTATTGAATACACCAAAGATATATTTATTCCTCCTCTAACTCTAGACGGTCATGTATTGTATGACCTACCTACATATAGTACTCTAAAGCGTGGCACAGCACAGCCGAGAAAAATAAGCGCGATATGCGGATCTGAGGTTGACTTTCACCGCATCGACAAACAGGTCGTGTGCAACAACTACATCGTATGCAGGTACTAAAAATGGCAGGAGAAGGAGGAAGAGCGCAGTTACCGGAAGTAGCATAGAATGGCAAAGGTGGTGGTGGATCCCTGAAAAGGAGGATGATCAAACGTTGCACCTGCAGGGTTCCCGCGAGTGGTCGTTTCAGTAACGGATAACGGCTTAAACCCCCTCTGGACCCGCAAAGAACGAAAGCTTGACAACACAACGGCTCAAGAGAGAAAAGGGAGTCTAGAATCGGAGTGCACTGAGTTGCATTATTAAGGTTTTCATGTTGTTGCTGTGCACGAAACGGTGACGGGGGGTGATGAAGTGAAGTTACGTTACACCAAGGACTTTCACTATCGTTTCGAATTCAGGGCCCTACTAACCTAACTACGACATGAACCCGTGTAGGTGATGTACTCTACTTACTTAGCTCATCAGGGCGGGACCTGACTTTTCACCAAAACACAGAGGGTCCGAAGAAGGAGTTTGAGGGAAACCCCGGTTTTCTTTCCGCGGGGAGTTCCAGAGCACAATTGGTGGATCTGCCGGATACACGGGATGGGACATACAGTTC